AAATTTTTGATAATAACATTTCTCTGCATGGTAAATATGACATTTTATGTCTTCTACTGGTCAACTCCCTCAGGAACAAACTCTATCTGATTGTAAGGTCCTCCACGATTTCTTAAATATACACCACCTCTGACAGCTTCAGCTTTTAGACTGTTGAAAAGATTTGCATCCTCTTCAAATATTTTTAGCATTCTTGGTGGTAGGAAAATGTTAAATTCATTATTTATTTCAGCAACAATTTTCGGACCAAATTTCGTATCAATTTTTCGAATGTCTGTTACTTTATAGAATGCATCGATGGTTAACTCCTTTGTTGTTTTGGTGACCAAGACTTTGCTTGCTTTGTTTAATTTATCGAAATTCATTTTCATCACTTAAATTTAAATTTTCAAATTTTTTTATTAAAATATTTAACTGCGACCTTGCTTCAATTAAACTTTTAACTTTATGTATTTCTTGAATTAATTTGTTCAAGCGCACTTGAATTTCACGACGTTGTTCTGCTAATATGTTCATTAACCAACTTAAACTGCAGGAATGATTTCGTTTATAAAAATTGCCCTCTTTATATACATGAGATATGACCTATTTGACCTTCAAGTTAATTATAGATTTCTTGGAATTTCGGTAAGATCAAAAGCATTCTTATGAAAAGAACCAAAAATGTTTGTAAAAATTCCTTAGATAAGAATCTAATAAACAGTGATTTGCAATATTTAGACAAAAATAATAATTCCAAGAATAAAATAAGTAAAAACAAAAACAGGAAATACCAATGATAATGAGTCATCCATAAAAAATTCCAAAACTCTGAGTCATCAACCCTATTTTGCGAAAAACAAAGAAATTATGTGTCATCGTTAAAGAATGCACCATGTAAAAAACAAAAACAGGAAATTCCTATGATAATGAGTCATCAACCCCATTTTGCGAAAAACAAAGAAATTATGCGTCATCGTTAAAGAATGCACCCAAAAAATAGGAAATACTAATAAAAAATTCCAAAATTCTGAGTCATCAACCCCTGTGGAAAATTCTAGGATTGTTTTATAATTCCAAGAAATTAGATAAATTCCAAGAATCACGATCTCAATATCCCCCCCCCCAAATTCTTGGAAGTATAACGTCATATCCAGCTCATCATAACAGTCTGAATACCCCCCCCAAATGGTTTGAGTCTTGGCTAAGTGGTTTGAGTCTGGGCTAAAAGTGTCGGTAACATGTCGGTGCAGGGATCTCTAGATAGAACCCTCCCTGTATATCTACTTGTCTGTCTGTCTGTAGAAAAATTTGTCGCCACGATAACTCGAATAAATTTTTATGAATCGTCTTGCAATTTGGCACACTTTTTTAGTCCATAAAAATGAAGCCTGAGTTCGTTGGGCAGCCCATTTCGTCAAAAAACAACAAAAATACAAAATTTTGAAATTTTCAAAATTTTGTATTTTTTACAATTTTCAAAAAAAAAATTTTTTTTTATTTTTTTCCTTAAATTTGGTGCAAAAACAAACAACTTTTCCTTTAGACACTTTTCAGTACAACAAAAAACAAAAAAGTAATGAATTTTTTTTTTTTTTAAATTTGTTATTTATTGCTTTTTTGGACTTTTTGTCAGTCTTCTCTGCAGTAGAAAATTTGTCCTATTGGGGCCGTGTTAATAAAAATTAGTTGATATTATGCTAATACACCTTCCTCAACATTAGAAACGACAATTGCATCTCTTACACAAATTTAAAAAAAATTTTCCAAAAAAGTACAAAAAATTGAAATTTATAGTGAGTGAAGCATTAGCCGAAACATGAAAAAACATTAAAAACATATCGAAACCTTCCTTTTTTTCTTTTAGATGCCAAATTTAGATAAAAATACAAAATTAGGAACAAAAAGGAACTCAAATTTTTTAAAAATTCTGCCTTTTTTTGATTTTTTCCGTAAAATTTGTTTTTACATTCTTATCAAAAATGAGAAAGTCTTGGATTTGTGCGATTTTGAGCAATGTCTAATTTTGCTAAATCTTTACGTTTCATGACCCCCTGATTCCAAAAAAATGGTTTTTAGAAAAGTGTCTGTCCGTCCGTCTGTCTGTCTGTCTGTCTGTCTGTCTGTCTGTCTGTAGAAAAATTTGTCGCCACGATAACTCGAATAAATTTTTATGAATCGTCTTGCAATTTGGCACACTTTTTTAGTCCATAAAAATGAAGCCTGAGTTCTTTGCTAACTTTGCATAAAATTTCATATTTGTGCCTTCAAAAAATGAATTTAAAAATGTTTTGATAAAATTCTTTATCAGACTTAAATTTTAAGAAATTTTAATTATTCAATTTATTTTTGCATTCAAATTATTGAATTCTCTAATGAAAATTTATTTCAAAATGAATTTCAGTTAAAGTTTTACATAATAATTGAATATTAAAAGCATTATAGCATGAATTTTTAAAAATAATTAAATTTTATAATGGTTCCAAATCAAATTCTTTAAAAATTTGTATTTTTCATACTTATAACTAACAATTCTGTAGAATTAATTATTTTAAAAAAGTTTAATTGAATTTTTTTCTGAAATTATTTGAAGTATTTATTTTTTAATTCGTATTTAGTTAAAGAATTTCTGAATAGTTTAAATTTCGTAAACAAATGGATTTTAAAATTCTCAAAGAACTTTTTTAAAAAATTATTAAAAATAATTTATTCCTGTGGGAAAATAATAATGATTAAAATTTATTTAGAAAAGAAGTAATTGATTTTTTCAAATAATTTTAGAATTAAAGAAATTCGTAAATAAATGTAATGGAACATTTTTTGGAGTATCTAATCATTTTTAGAGAGAATCAGAATATTCTTTAGAGTCAAGGAAGAAGTCAAAATTTTGTTAAGTAATAAAGTTTTTCATATTAAAAGAAAAGAAAATATTTTACAGGATTTACATTTGTTAATTTTCTAAAATGTTTGTTACAAAATGCTAATTTTTGAGAATCAAAGGAAATAAAGAATAGTATAATAATATTAATAATTTTTTAGATTAACAAAAATATTTTTGAATTATTTGAGAAATAAAAAATAATATTATTAAATCAAAAAAAAAATAAAAACAAAATAAAGAAATGTAATATTATCTATCAAAACATATAAAAAACAAAAGCATAAATTTTGTTAAAAAATTGTTATTTTATATTTTATTTCTATTTTCTATCAAAACGAATAAAAAACAAAAGAATAACCATGACTATCTTCAGGTGTGGACAGACTGGACAGAATGAATTAGGCCTAGAATGAATACGACGATTATTAAGTTGAGTCTCCAATGCCCGGGTAGCAATTGTAGTCTGGATCAGGTCTGGAACTGATCCGGTATGATCTGTGCCAGATCTGGTAACCACGTCTGGACCAAAGCAGGTTTGAAACGCGGAACGTGTATGGACCGTGTAAATAACCAGATTTGCTTTTTCTAGTGGTAATGAGTTACCGACCGGTTTTTTTACTGGTGGTAATAGGTTACCGACCGGGTTTCTCCATCGGTAAACTTTGTTATGAATTAAGAAGGAAGATTTTCAATTAAAATAAAAAACATTTTAAAAACTTTTTTTTAATAAATATATTTATTTATACCTTATAAAAGAATACATATATTTTTTCATATATTTATAATTATATTAAAACTATTGCTTACGCTAAGTTTATTACTAAAATATATATATTTTTTTAAGAAAGCTAACTAATAATATAAATCTTTATAAATGCTTTCTAAATTTGAAATATTAATGAGTGTCTGATTTGTCATTAAAATATTAATCATTCATACGATGGTAATATTACTATTTAATGCTGAAACTCCCATTCATAAATCAGCACCCAATTAATATTGAAATAATAATAAATGTAAATATAATGTAAGAAAAAAATGACTAGAATAATTAATTTAATTTATATTTAGGATATATTGAAAAAAATAATTTTTTTGCTAACTTATTCAATTACTTAAATCTCCTTTGCTAATTAACATCCACAGTATATTTTTTGATTAAATCAGTAATTTTTCAAAAAATAACTGATTCATTAATGAAAATTATTCAGTTACATTTGTACTGACTGAATTAGTAAAAATTTTACTAATTTAAATATAAAGAGATTAGAAAAATTCCACGTGAAGTGATATATTTTATTTTTTTATAGTTCATTTTAAAATATTTTTGTGTACTCTTGAAATTCTAAAAATATATTTTTTTAAATTAATTTTTTGACCTCTCTTTATTTGAAAAGGAAACCTTATTTTTCAATTTTTCAAAACTATTTAATTTTATATCCTTTAATTATTTTTACTTGAAAGCTGTGGTTTTTACCATTAAAATAGATTAAGAATGAAAATGAGACAACAATATACGTTCAAGAAAATAAAGAAATACAATTTTTTTAACACTTTTTTTATTTTCTTGAAAATTTATATTGTTGTCATATTGTGTTAAAAAAATTTTTTTAGAAAATATTTCTGAAATCAAAGGTATACCAGAAATTCTTTAAAATTAACTATATAAAAATTAAAATCTGTCAAATTTATTCAGTTTTATATTAATTGTAATTTATCAATTTCGATTCAAACAGAAATTTACAGAATTAGTTTTTAAAAAAGTTTATATTGCCTTCAATATAAACTTTTTCAAAAACTAATTCTATACAATCCTTATTGTATTAGAGTCAGAATTCGTGAAATTTTCACAAAAAATAAAAAGAATTTTTTTTAAATCGAAATGTTGAAAAAACATTTTTATTTGGCCTTAGGAATGTGTCCACCAAAGAACAGACAAAAAAATTTTTTTTATAAAAAAAAATCTGCAATAACTTTTATAAAAAAAATTTTTTTGTCTGTTCTTTGGTGGACACATTCTTAAGGCCAAATAGAAATTTTTTTTTAACATTTCGATTTAAAAAAAATTCTTTTTATTTTTTGTGAAAATTTCATGAATTTTGACTCATTACTTTTATATACAACAAAAATGTGACAAAGTTTTAAGCCATATTCTTAGAAAATTAAAATTTTTACTACTTCATTTCACATGGAATTGCTCATCAGTTAATACATCAATTGGAGACATAATTAAATTCTTAAATGCACTAAACTTTTACAATTACTATCCTCTTTCTACTATCTTTCGCATAGCTAAAAATTGCAGAAAGGTGCACCATTACTTGATCTTCTGTTATTTTTAATTTCTGAGCAGCTACTTCTGAAAACAATAAGAAAAAAAGAGTATTTAAAAATGACATACAAACATATATGTACGAAAGATAAGAATAAGAATAGTAAACTAAAACTAAAAATTCTTACCTACTAAATATTTGCAAAATTTGAAGTCTTTAAATAGTTCTTTTCCTGGAACTTTTTTAGCTACAGTAAGACTTGATATTAAACTTCTGCTAAGAAATTTTCTTGTTAATGTTCCCAGCGTTCTGCGATGTTCTGCGTTAGAATTTAAATGAAAGTCCAAAGTTCCCTTCTGTGAATTAATGTTAATAGTTTAGAGAAATATTTTATTATATAAACATCCAATAATTTTCTTAAAAAGGAAGTCAGAAAAAAATAAAAGCTCCATATAAATTAATTGAGATTAAAGCTTTTTACTTAAGCCTTTTAATTATTAAATTTTTGCAATCTATATACTTACAAAGCGTTGACAGCATTCTTCGCTTGAGAGCTTAGAATCAATTTCGAGTAAATCATCCAAGTCCTGTAGTGGAAACTGAATATCAAAATCTGCTTCAAATGTTCCTTCTTTTGTATATTTTGAACTTTTTTCAGCTTCCATTGTAGCCCTCAGAAAACTAACTTCATTTTTAAGATCAACAACCATTCCTATGAGCATATTCATTTTTTCTAGAACTGCATTGTTAACTGTAAGAGATCATATTGAATTTTAATTTAATTTAATTTAAAAATGATTAATTAAATAGGACTCTGCGATAACTTACTTGTATTCTGTATTTAAGTTTCATCTATCGAAAGTGGTCTTTTATTAGATTTACCATCATTTAGATAAGCAAGTTTGGAATTTAATCTCATTTGCTTTTTTTTTACTGTAAATTTATAATGCTTTTATTATAGGTAAAAAGAAATTACACTTAATGCTTTTTCTTTTCGAAAAAGAAAAATACTTACTATTATTATTATTATTTAATGTTTTTACTATTTTTCGAGGTTGTATATCCTCCTCTTCACTGCTACCTACATAATGGTTTCCTTTTTTTTTTAAAACCGAAGAAAGATCATGTCTTCTTTTTTTTGGAAATGTCGGTACAGTATTATTTTCGTTCTCATCTAAAAGTATTCCATAATTAAATAGTGCTACTGTATATATCAAAATTAATTTATTTAACTATAAATGTATTGTGCTGCAATAAATTATCTTTACAAAAATTATATTTAATTTAATAATTATAAATTTTCTAATTTATAATTTATATTTTTATTACCATCAATTGTAGCAGAAAAGGACATTTTTCTTTTAAATTTGTTTATCTGCATTCGGGAAGGTGTATTAGAGATGTCATCTAAAAAGCCATCTTCTTGCTCATCTGGAATTATTTGTAAAACGTTGTATGTTTTTAAGTTAATCAAATTTTGTCTTAATCATATTACAAAATTTATTAATAAACATTTAATTATTACCTTAACAGCGTCCGGATATTCAGGATATCCTACGAATGTTCTAAGGGATATCCGGAAACTATTATAGCCGTAGAAGGTTCCAGGGATGTCCTGGAATATCTTAGGATATCCAAATTTCCAGATCTGACTTAAACGTCCGCAGGATATCCTAGAATACCCGTTGCTTTTAAGGTATGAATATTCTTTTACCTGCTACTGCAAGAGGATCAGACACTTTGTTCTCATTCCTTTCTAATACCATCTCATTTAAAGAGGGTGCCTTGAGAATATTATTTAGATTATCATCATATGGATTATAATCTTTAACTAATTGTTCAATTTGTTCTTTTTTTGAAATGTTGTCTATTTCTGCGTCGGTCGTGAACGCATATTCTTCCATGCGCAGAATATTTAGACGATCCACTGATTGTTCGTAAGAATCTGTAATGATAATGAAATGTTACTTTAAAATAATATAACGTGTTCTACTTTTTCAAAAATCTATTGTTATTTGGATAACTAACCTGCATGTCCAAGGATTTTTATGCAGTACTCTGGCCAATTCAGTGGTGCTTTTTGTTGCTTCCGAATCATGTCATAGAGTACATTCTTTGTTTCATCAGTGTATGGTTCAGGCATAAATTTTGAAACAAGTCTTTTCTTAACTTTATCGTATCTCATCCATTTAAATAGGGTGATGTCCACGGACCTTTTTTTCGGCTGTCTACCCACTTGAATAAATTGAATTAACTGAAATGGTTTTGCAGTTAATACTGTGCTAGCCATTCTGCTGTGAAAAAAAGCTATGATTAAAATAATTTTTGTATTTAGACTTACAATAGTGCTTTTAATTAATTAATTTAGAAAACTTATTCCTAAAAGGCAAAACATTTGAGCTCAATATTGTCTCAATATTGCAATAACTGGATATCCCAGGATATCATGAAAACATCTCGTAGATACTTTAGGGATGTCCTCGAGATATCTGATGGATAATATTAGGATATTCTAAAGATCGTTGAGTTGGATATCCTAGGGACATCCTAAGGATATCTGAAGATATTCATAAGATATCCCAAGGAAATTCCTAATATATTCGCAAAATATCCTTGCATTAATCCTAACATATCCTTATAGGGTATCATCACGATATTCATAAATTAATTCTACCCTCATAGCCCTGCGATACTTCAGGATATCCCTGGGACGTTCTAGAGATATTCATCTAATTTTGGCGGATCGGATATTTATGGACATTACCAGGATAACCAAACCGCCGCAAAAAATAGATATCCCCAAGATGTCCCAGCGATATCCTAGATATATGTGTTATGAGATTCAGAATGCACCTAGAAAGTTGCAGTTTTTTCCTAATTTTGCAATTTACTAAATCTTATATGGTTACAGATAAAGAATAAAAATTGAACTATTGTTTAAACAATTTTTATAAATTGTCCTATCTATGACATTCATTGTTCATTTGCACAGTTGTACTGGGTGCAAATTGATCATGTGTAATACCTTTGAAAAATTTGAAAACACTGTATTAATTTATAAAATTACAGTGAAAATTTAGTAAATAACAATTTGTTTAAAAATTGTTTAAACAATAGTTCAATTTTTATTCTTTATCTGTAATCATATAGAGTTTAGTAAATTGCAAAATTAGGAAAAAACTGCAACTTTCTAGGTGCTTTCTGGAAAAAGTTGGTAAATAACAACAACAATTTGTTTAAAAATTGTTTAATTGTTTATTTTGCCCTAAAACTCGATAATTTTTATTTTTTCCTAAATGTTAATTTTCCTATAGTATTTTACTTAAAAAATCACTAAGTAAAAGGATTTTGCAAAAAAACTTTATTATTCTTGTTGTTAATAATTGAAAATTTTTATTATTTTTTTTAAAAAATGAATTTCAGAAAAACTTGTCAACTGATTTCAATGATTCAACCGGCATTATTTTTGTCTGAAATCCAAATTACAAAAAAATTTTTTTGTTTGAAGATATTGGATTTTAATTAACAAAAAATTGTTTATTTATAAAAATTATTTAAATAACTACTTTACCCATACATTTTTATGTTGAAAAAATTTTATACTTATTCTTTAAACCTTTTTAAATAATATTTCGAAGAGAAAAAAATAGCACGCATTAAGAAGTAGGTAAAAAAATTATTTTTTAGAATTACAAACGAAATAATTCACCCGAAATACATTTATTCGCATGCGCCGCGAACAAAAGAATTTAAAGTATAATCCTCTAAAAGAAAATTATACTGCAACGCATGCGCATGTCTGTATTACGTGTGAATTATTTCGTTCGTACTTTTAAAAGATAATTTTTTCACCTATACTTCTTAATACGTTCCATTTTTTTTCTCTTGGGAATATTAGTGAAAAAGGTTTAAAAAATAAGTACAATTTTTATCAACTAAAAAATCCATGGTTATTTAAATAATTTTTTTGTTTATTAAAATTCAATATCTTTAAACAAAAAAATTTGTATTTGAAATTTGTATTTAAGACAAAAATAATGCCAGTTGAATCATTGAAATCGGTCAACAAGTTTTTCTGAAATTAATTTTTTTAAGAAAAAGTAATAAAAATTTGCAATTATTAATAACAAGAGTAATTTTTTTTATAAAATCCTTTTGCATAGTGATTTTTCATGTAAAATGCTACAGGAAAATTAACATTTAGGAAAAAATAAAAATTATCGAGTTTTAGGTGACACGTTTCAGAAATTCTTACTCAAGTATAAATTTAAATAGTATTAAAGTAGAACTTTTGTTTTTGCCAATCTAAAATTTTTGCAGAATGTTGTTTTAGGTCCTAAGTGCTTTCATTTTATGCATAACTAGTAGCCCGCCTTCGAGCTATAGTATTGACAAAACTATTACTCATCATGCTTTTGACTATATTCTAATGTTTTCTAAAACTTATAAATATAAAAAAGACAAGCATTAGTAGAGAGACCAAACAATAATCTTTGAAATTCATACTGGGTGCAATATAACTTTTTAACAGCTTATGGAAGGGAAGATACCTGACGGGCTGGGGTTTTCCCCAAAATTTTATTGGCACCAGTACAGAAAGTTTGTAAGATTCTATATCCTGTTCTACGAGTGAATAGGACTTTTGTAAAATACAATTTTAAAACTTTTTTCCACTCTTTAAAAAAAACTGCGCGTTGGAAAACATTCTTCTATAGAGCAGAGTATAAATATCCATATTTCTTGAAAATATTTACTATATAGAAAAACACTAAAAAAATGGTAGATTGTTTGATGTTTTTAATATATATTAATATTATATCAAATTTATAGATATTTCAATATTTATTTTAAAACAATTATTCTATTTTTTAATAAAATTTAATTTAGAAATCATTTAATAATTGAGTTGTCAAGTTTAATTCTTCGAAAATACTTTTTACTACTTTTTTAATATTAATAAATTATTGAGTACTAAGCCTGCTGCACTGCAAAAAGAAGCATCTTATTATAAGATGCTATTTTTGAAAAATTCGAGAATTTTTTGTTCAAATTTTAAAATGAAATTATTAAAAACTAATCATTATATTTCAGAATAAAAATTCAAACATTATTACAGTCTTACGACAATTAAAACTTTTAATGATTTTGATTTATTAATTTTTTAAAATTTAATTATTTCTAAAAATTCATATTGTCACGATTCTAATATTCAATTAAGAAGCCAGTAAAAAAACTCGCCGAGTGCCCGAACGCACGCTCTAATACCAGTCGGGGAGCAGTGAGCGCCTCTGGGATTATCACTTCTACTCGACTGGTATTAGAGCGTGCGTTTTCGCGCTAGGCGAGTTTTTCTCCCTGACTCCTTAATTATTATCTAATATTTTAACTGAAATTCAACTTTAAATCTATTTTTTCGCATTTCGCGTCGCGCGTTTTTCATTTTTTCTTTGCCATGTATTGATTTTAGCAAAATTTCGCCAAAAATGAGAACCAAAAATATTTTTATTAACAAAAAAATAGTTTTTAATAATTATTTTTTCAATTTGGGAAAGTTTGAAAATGAATTCTTTGTTTTAAAAATGAATTTATAACTGTTAAGAACACCATTTAAAAGAGTTTTTAATGGGACGACTTTCAGCTTTATTAATATGAATTTTTAGAATTAGGTGTGCGAGTTTAGGTTGCAACCTAAAAATAATAATAATTAGTAAATAATTAGTAATAATTAGTGCAAATAATTAGTTTTACATGTAAAACTAATTATTTGCAATAGGAATATTAGAGAAAAACTAAATAAAGTAATGATCACTGAATTGAATATGTAATTTATTCTACATATACGCTACGCACTTTTGTATTTTAAAGTGGAAGCTGCAGCAAGCTTAAAGTTTGCACGCACTTATATATACTTTTCTCACAATTACCTTGTTTTTAATGAATATTCCAAATAATCACACACTAAAAATCACAAGACACAAAATGTGGCAAATCTTTTAAGTTTTCAACACAGTGTTCTGTTCACGACGAATGCTTCGATTTAACTGGTAAATATAAGGGTATAGAGGATTCAGGTAAACAGGGGCGGTGCAATTATTACCTTTCGGAAATGTATAGAGAAGTGAGTTGCTGGAAAAGGAAATATTTAAGGCAAAGTAGGTAAGTAAAGTAAATCCGAATACATCACTCAACCACTATTATTAAAGTAGTAGTTAAAGTGTAACAGTTCAGCAGTGTAGTTCTCATGAAATCTTAGAAACGTTCAAGAGTGTTTAAAAGAGCAATGCTTAATACACGTACATCAAGCACTTATCGGGTTAGAAAGCATCGTACATTAGCTGAAATTAGAAATTTAATTTATTTAAACGATGGTATGTAATTTAAGCTAATAATTTATTATTAACGTTGCATATGTATAAAAATTATTTATTCTTAACTGTTTATTGTGCTTTATTATGCAGTTTGTAAGTCATCTTTAAATTTGACTAATTTAATAACTTAGCAAATTTACTAGCTTAGTTACTAACTAACCAACTTACTTACTCACTTAGATACTAAGTGAGTAAGCACTAATATTACACAATTATTAGAATAATTTAACAGAATGTCTACTGACAATATGACTTAAAATGTCCTGTACACATCCCAGCAAACACGTTACGTAAGTGTTACATAACAAATAAAGCACCTTGTTATGTCTCACTGTGACAATATTGTTATGTAACAACTACATAATGAGATAGTAACAATATTATATAACACTGTTACTGAATGGTGATATAATAGTTACATAATTTTTTCAAATAACTATTATATAACTGTGTGATATATTCATTACATCACAGAGTGATAATTTTTGTCTTGTTAGATTGTTCTCTAATTGTTACATAACTGTTACGAAACTGTGTGACATAACAGATACATAATTTTGTTATAATTAATAAAGTAGGTTACATTATTATATCACACTGTGACAATATTATTATGTAACCATTATATAATGAGATAGTAACACTGTTATATAACACTGTTACTGGATGGTGATATAACAGTTACATAATTTTTTCAAATAACTATTATATAACTGTGTGATATATTCATTACATCACAGAGTAATAATTTTTGTCTTATTGCATCGTTCTCTAATTGTTACATAACTGTTACGAAACTGTGTGACATAATAAATACATAATTTTGTTATAATTACTAAAGTAGGTCACATTATTATATCACACTGTGACAATATTATTATGTAACTATTATATAATGAAATATTAACACTGTTACTGGGACGTGATATAACAGTAACATAGTTTCATAACATACGTATTATACAACAATGTGATACATTCTTTTAAACTGCACTTAAATAAATAAAAGGCAGAATGTGTTTTTTACATAGGCAATTTTTTCCTAAAAACAAAAGCAATACACGCAAAGCAATTGCTTATTCTTTTTAAAAAGAAATTTTTGCTTTAGTTCCTAAGGTTAACATAACAAGGCAAATTTTAATTTGAATATTTAGAGAATACTATATTAAATAATAAATGTATTTATTCCAATATTCACAACTAATCCAATGAAGAGATTAAACCTTATAAACAGAATTAATATTATATATATATATATTCATTTTTACTATCGTGAATATAATGATAATGTATTTTTATAGTTTATTATTTAAAAATTAAAAAATTATATTTTACATTTTTATTAATTATATGTGACGCGATTTGAAGAAAAGGAACTTAGAAGCAAAAAATTGTAGGCTATGTTTGCAATTTTTTAAATGAAAATACAAAAAAGTAATAACTGTTAATATAAATGATTGATATTTTAAGTCTTTATTACAACTAAAATATTTAAAAACAAATTATTTAAATAGCAAACATGTTCTGTAACTGTTACGTAACATTTCTGTAGTAATAAGAGCTAAATTACGTAACTGTTATGTAATTTTTATGTAACATAAAAGTAACAATGTTCTGTAACTGTCGTTACAAAATTGTTACGTAAAATTGTAGTCTCTCTGTTACGCAATAAAATTATGTAATTGTTACATAACTGTTATGTAACATGAAACACTATTTTATAATTATTGTTTCGAATAAATATTTTTTATTATAAATCTAGTTTAACTGTTTAAGTTTATTAATTTACAATAAATTATTATTAATAATTATTATCAGTATTATTTATTATAATTATTAATGTCCAAAACTTTTAAAGAAGTACGTAAAAGTAAAGTGGGGTGAAGAAGCCGACTTTTGGAACATTTTACGATATTTAATATATCACTCACTTTTAATTTTATTTAAAATTTTTTAACGTACTCTGAAAAGTTTGTCTATTAAAAATTTAAAAAATATCTTAATTTTTTTTGTAAAAAGTTGTCAGAAATTAATAAAGAAAAATTTTTATTTGAACAAATTTATTTAAAATTAATTTAAAGTTTATAACTCTCAAATTTTATGTGAAGAAAAATAGAATTTTCAGAATAAAATAAAAATTTGTAATCCCGATTAGTATAATTGTAATCGTTTCTTTTTGTTACTCACATGTGTGTGACATTGTTATGTAAATGCTACAAAATTGTTACTTATATGTGTGTAACATTGTTACGTAAATGTTACAGAATTGTTACTGAACACTGTGACTAATGTGTGGTAGATATTTTTATTAACACGTTAATCGTATATTACAAATAAAAAAATCACAAGTTTGTCTTTGTTACGTAATAGTTACATAACAGTAAGTAACAGAATATACGGCACTGCAGTTGATATAGTAGATTAGGAGAATTCTCATCCAGCCTTCAGTGGCCGTGCGGTTTAAATGCGTTGCGTCGGGTCGTCAAGGGCGGGGGGACGTGAGTTCGATCCCACATGCGAGCGGATATTTTTCATTCTAAGCGTTATGTAAAATAATAAAATTACTATTTAATCTGTATATAAGTGTTGTGAAATGTGAATAAAATAAACTTGTGAACATGTTTAGAAATAATATTAAAGATCTGTAAAAAAATCAAGTTTAAAAAATGTACTAATTAGTAAATCAGTTTTTTACTAAAATTATTTTTGGATATTACCATGTCAAATGGCATTTGTTATTATCTATTGAATAAAAATAATAACAATAATTTTCACGTAGGTCATAATAGTGATGTTACAATTATATAACAAGCTCATCAAATTATGTAACAGAATCTCATAATTGTGATATAATAATAAGTCACAACGTGATATAAGTGTGATATAACAATTATGTAACATATTTACATAACTGTGATATAATAATAAGTCACAACGTGATATAAGTGTGATATAACAATTATGTATCAAATTCTTCTAATTATGTAACATATTTACATAACTGTGATATAATAATTAAATATCACGCTGCAACATAATTGTTATATCACCCTTCTTGTAACAATTATGTAACTGTGACCCTCATGTTACGACATTTCGTGTCACATGTTCATATCATGTTATATCACGTGTGATATTCTGTGACATAACTGTTACATAACTGTTATGTAACAATGTTTGCTGGGATTTCTTATTTTTCCAGGGCATTTATATATGTAACAAGGTTGCCACAAGTTAGGGAAGTCAAGGAATTCAGGGATTTTTACTAAAAGTACTGGAAAAAATTAAATTTTTAGAATTTATAGGAAAATTCTGAAGTTTCTGTCTTTTTTGTTTGCTTCATAAACTATGAAATTGACAAGAATTCTAATACAAACTGTACAATATTTTCTATTTTTAACAATAATTTCTTTTTAAATAACTTCGTATAAATTCAATTATGTTCAAAAATTGTTTTAAATTCTCGTCAAAATTTCAATTATCTTTATAAATAATAAAATTCTTCTCCAAAATTCAGTTATTTTCAAAAAAATTTAATAAAATTCTTGGCAAAATTTCAATTATTTAAAAAAATTTTCCTCATTTCAATTATTTTTCATATCTACTATTTTAATAAAATTTTCCAAAAGAATTCTATTATTTAAACAAAATTTTAATAAAAATTTAACAGGAATTCAATTATTTACTAATTCCTTTTATAAATTTCTTCAAATCAATTCAATTATTTTCAATTTTTTAATAAAGTTTTTCGAAAGAATTCGAATATATATAAAGGGAATTGAAAAAAATAGTCTGAGAAATTCAATTATTTCGAAAAATTAAAATAAAATTCTTTTAATAATTCTATTATTTAAAAAAATGTTGACAACATTCTTTGCAAGATTTAGTTCATTAAATTGCAATTTTAATAAAATTTTCCTATACAATTCAATTGTTTTCAATACATTTCTTCTTAAGAATTCAATTATTTTCACAAATAATACATTTTTTTATAGGAATTCAATTATTTAAAAGAATTTGAATAAAATTCTTCGCTAGAAATCAATTATTTTCTTTCTTGAGAATTGAATTAGTTTTAAAAATTTTGATAAAATGCTTTACAAATTTGAAAAATTATAATAAAATCGGTCATAGAATACAATTGAGCTCCCACGTGCAATGACTCGATCTGCGCTCGGACGCACTCTCTAGTACCAGTCGGGGAGCAGTGAGCGCCTCTGCGCCACTCACTGCCACCCGACACTGGTATTAGAGAGTGCGTCCGAGCGCAGGTCGAGTCATTGCACGCGGGAGCTCAATTATTTTCGTAAAATACAACATTTTTTCTAGAAATACAATTATTGTCAAAAATGTTTGTAAAACTCTTCAAAAAAATTCAATTATTTAGGAAATTTTAACAAAATTCTTCCCAAGAATTCAATTTTTTCAGAAATAAACATTTTCACATGAATTCAATTATTAAAAAAAATTTTTTTTTAATTCCTTGTCAGATTTCAATTATTTTTAATTTTTTATTGAAATTTTTAGATGAAATTTAATTATTTTAAAAAAGTTTTTAAAAATTCAAATATTTAAAAAAATTTGAATAAAATTCTTCGCAAGAAATTATATATTTTCATAAATAATAATATTTTCCTCTGAAATTCAATTAT